GTGTGCCATTTGTTTTACAGGTCATCATTGCTATCGACTTGCACAAAACATGAAGAACACCGACACTGCTCATTCTTATGTCTATTATGGTTCTCATTGCAGACTTTGACTTCAAGCGCAATACACTGGCTTTCGAGCACACACTCGCACCAGAAGCTCAGCTTGAAGCAGTTGAGGAGATCTTGAGCAATCTGGAGATTGCTTCCAACAATGAAATCCTTCCAGAGGTTCCTTCACTATTTGCCAAACTCGTGTCATCACTCAAGGAACTGGATTACCCTCAGCTCAACACTGTTTACAACAATGCTAAAGAAACTCACACACGGAAGTTCCTGGTTGACGCTATGCCACTGGTGGGAACAGCTGCATCTTTTGGTGTGGTCAGAGACATGTTCCTCAATGGGGACATGACAGAATCTGAGGCTGATGTGTTCTTCACTTCACTGGCTTTCTTCAAGAACCCAACAGCAGAAATGTTTACTGCTCTTGCTGTTAGTATTGATATAATCTATAAACACAGTTATGTATATATTATTATTGCTATGTATACTCGTAATGACATTTATTCACATTTTAAGAAGGCATTATTGAAAATATTTTCTGCCACTTTACCTACACATTATCTAATATTTTTACAGCCTTTACTCGAGAACAACCCAAGCCAAAAAGCAATGTTGGGAACTTCTGCTCTCATCAACACCTTCTGCAAAATCAATGAAGACTGTGGTGCCGATTCCAGTGTCCAGCAAGTAATTCGTCGAATTGAAACACAACTTGGATCTGGCTGTCGCACTGTGAATGAAGAAGAGAAAGTCAGGGTACTCGTTGCTCTCAAGGCACTTGGCAATGCTGGCCGATGGGTTAATGCCAACTCAGTCCTAAGGCGATGCTATACTGAAGATAATGAGATGGAAGTGCGAGTGGCTGCTATTGACGCATGGAGGCACACTCCATGTGAATATGACCGATCTCATCTTCTGGCTGCTTTCCAAGATGAAACTCAGGACACAGAGGTTCGCATTGCAGCCTACCTTGCTCTCATGACCTGTCCTACTCCAGACCTTATCAATACCATCAAGGACCGTCTCACTTCAGAAGGTGTCAACCAGGGGCTCCTTCATCTGGACTCATATGACCAACATGCAGGAATCAGCTGCTCCAGAAAAACAGTGGGCTCGTCAAATGATTGGCGAGGAACTTCTCCAGAAAAAGTTCAGTACCGAAGCCCTCAAGTTTTCTCGCAACTATGAATCCTCTTTCTTCATGAATGAAATCAACACTGGGGCTTCAGTTGAAAGCAATGTCATCTTCTCCAGCAAGTCCTACCTGCCACGTTCTGCAATGCTGAACCTCACCCTCGACCTCTTTGGACAGTCTATCAACTTCTTTGAGGTTGGTGGAAGAATCGAAGGTTTTGAGGCTTACATTGAACGCTTCTTTGGTCCTAGAGGATATTACCCAGAGGAAACCATTGAAACCATCCTAAGGAATATGCGACAGAACAGTGACGCTGATGCCACCACGCTTGAAGGCTTCCTTGACCACATAACTGATGAACCGAAGGGATCCTACTACCTCCGAGTTTTTGGCAATGAGCTTCATTACCACCACTTCTTAGGACTTGAAAACCTCATCCAAACATCCGGTGCTTCTAACCCACTGGAATTCTTGATGAATCTGGCTCGTCAGGGAGATGTTGATTACACAAAATCTTACCAGCTAATGGACACTCACCACACCATTCCTACTGTGACTGGTTTACCTGTGACCCTCACTGCAAAGGGAACAGCTACCCTTGGACTCAAGATGAATGGAAACTTCAAGGCTCGTAGTCTCAAGAATATAAACATTGAAGGACACCTCCATCCTTCGGCCGCAGTTCAAATTGATGGCGTTATGCTCGTCGATGCCCACGTGTCTCGCACTGGACTGAAGATGTCTTCCAACCTTCACACCTCCACATTCCTTGATGGCAAGCTTCAGATCAATGGTGGTAAACTAGTCGATGTTGCCTTCAACACACCCAAGGACAAGATGGAAGTTATCAATGTCAAGACCGAGTTCTTCTACCTGGAAGATGATCAAGAGATCCGAAAGGAAGTTGCAAACCTCATCCAAGAAGAGAGCTGCACTAGTGGAGTCAGTGGCGTTGCCTTGTGTGGTGAATACAGCTACGCTCCTTGCTCGGAATATGGCCCAAGCTTCCCCTTCACAGGACCTTTTGCAACAAGTGTTCATTTCAAGAAGACAAACACTCAGACTGGATATGTCCTGCGCTTCACTCACGAAGATGATCAGTTTGTTTTCTTGTTTGACACACCAGGATCACAAACAGATCGTAAAGTCCTCTTACTATTACCAAGGCTGCTAAAGCAATCAGCTTTGATCTTCACACGCCATTTAAATCAGTCCAAGGTAGTGGCGAATATCTCTGGCAGAAGAATAACAAGAACACTAAGCTGGCACTCGTTGTTGATGAAAATCAACAATACATGCTAGAGGCTGGTCTACGTACAAGCGGAAAAACAGTCAAGACACTTGTCCCATCTTTCATTCTCACTTCCCCTACTGGTCAAGTATTGAATGTACAAGGAAACTTCCAGGCCAACACGGATGCTGCTAAATATGTTGCTGATGTTACCATCTCGGAGATGACTGCATCCCCCATCATTGTACACGGTAAGTTCTAGGTTTATATCAAAGAAAATAAGGTCTAATGATGCATGATAATGTTTGATAAAACAAATTAATCGATCTATTGTATATCATTTTATGGATGATGTTGAAACCTGTCTACTTTCTTTTTACAGCATCGTTTGAGGGCGAAAGTAACTCTGTTGCCATGAACGTTGATCTGAAAACACCAATCATTGACACATTGGTCAAGAGTGAGTTTGGTTATGGTGAGAACTTCCTTTCATCCAAGGTGGAAGCAGAGTACAGTATTATGAAAGAGGCCAAACAGACGGTCCACCATTCTGCCCTTCTCAAGAAGGAAACCACAGAGGACCTCTCCAAGTACACCATTGTCTTTGACGTCTCCCCATCACAGTACCCTGAAATGACATTAGATTATAACCAGAACATCGTCCTTTCAAAGGGACGCATGGAAAACAACGTTAAGCTTGTCCATGGCCCTGCCACATGGAACGTCAATGAAGTGGTATCCTACGCCAATAACAATGGTCACCGCGATATGAACATCCACTGGACAGTCGCTTGCACACACTATGAGATCGATACCTCTGGTTCCTTTGCACTGGAGTTCTCTCCAAATCACCTGAAGGGTGACTATCACTTCCAACTGTCTCCCGGGAGAGAACAGGTCATCCTAGTGGAATTCAGTCATCAGTATGACGTCGAAACACTCGGACGTATCAACGTGCAGGCTGAGGACTGA